AGAGAATCCCCACCCAGCATTCTTCAATAAAAATAGTTGATATGCTAATATGCTTTGGTATATCAAGCTATCCCTGAAAAAATGTAGACCAGCAAAGTAATTTGTTAAATATTTTGTCTTAAATCTTGGTCATGGAGGGTAAGATTGGCAAAAAAGATCTCTTGCCACTAAAATTCAGGAAAATGTATGGCTGATATTCATTTTGCACACTTTAAGATTTTTGTGCACAAAAGTGTATGTATGAACTTGTTAAGATAAAAATTGTTATCATGATGTTAAAAAATATATAAGTTAAGTTTAAACTGCAAGAAAAGTCAGCAGGTTTAGACATTACCAAAAGTGTTGAAAGGGTTATTGCATTTATTTTAAAGAACTTTAATTAAAAGATTTTGTAAGGATTCTTTAATTTGGAAACCTAAATCTGATGTTTTGATGCATAAGGCTGTTTGCATTGTAATCAAGTTATCTGGCTTAGCAAAACACATTGGAAACTTGAGATTATTTCCCACCACTGCTAAAATTTGCGGGGGAGTGTTAGAATTTGGATGTAAAGTTTTGTTTACCACTGTTAAGGACATTGCTTCTTCTGTGTGTCTAAACTGTTTTGTTTCTCAGTCAGAGATTTAAAAGGACAGGAAAATTTAAGATAAGCCTGGGTGCTTATCTTTAAAGGTAAGGGGTGGTCTGGAAAAGGGGCAGATCAGCCACTCCATGCATGGTGGGCCAGGCCCTGGGGGAGTTCACGCATGGTGGAAGAGAAACAAAGGCAGTTCTAACCCTACAAAGTCAGATTGGGTGTATACCCATTCTGTAGGATGGGGCAACAGGCCCATCTTCTTCCTGTCTTTTTTCCATGCAGATGTTCACTGGAAACCTGAGGTAAAAACTGGTGTTGTAATATTTCTAACATTGCCCCTGAGGATGTATTTAAATTGAAAAAGTTTTAAAGAAGAGTTTACAAGAGTTTATTTATGTGATGTAACTTGATTTCTATGCTCTTTTTGCAATTGGATGTATTTTTGAAAGGATAAAAAGATGCTGTGGTAGGAAGACCCCTACTCAGGCTGGCAAGCCCACCTAGTCGTCCAGAGTGACAGAGCCCACCGCAACAAAGTTGTTAATAAAGAAACAACTTTATTGAGAAGGTTCCTACACTGACCGGCCAGGGCCACAGCACAGGCTGGGGAGCTGATCCCGAGCAGCCCACATACTTAGGTTTTTAAAGGCAAAATTCACAAGGTCAAGTCTGGTCACACCCAGGTGACCAATGAGATTGTAACCATAACACACACAAAGGATTGTATGGTCATACAGACCACACACAGGTAGCCAATATGTGGTCACCAGTTGGAGCCAGATTATAACCCATCTGTTTTATGGGTCAGTCTTTAACTGAACAATCAAGGTGGATTAGGTTGTTAAGGGAGACCTAGAGGCATTCTTTCCATTCTAAGAACTGGGCTGGCTGGAGCCAAGGTCGAGTTAACCTTGTTTAGAGGTGGGGTTTTTTTTTGTTTTTGTATTTTTTCCCCCTAAAATCCCTAAAGCAAAGGCAAAGCCTGGAAAAAAGCTGTACCAGCTCAAGTCTCCTCTCAGGGCCCACTTCAATGCTAAGTCTAGATTCTTGAAACAGTGTTTGTAATTCTTGCATTAAGAAAAACTGCTAAGTTCCTAATTGTAACTTAGACTGCAAAAAACAAAAATAAAAACAAACAAAAAAAAACCATGGATAGTTTAAAAACCTTTGGCTGAGGGGTAATGGATGTGCCCAGTGTTCCAACAGGGCATTTAAATGCAAATTAAAGACACTTTAGGTAAAGGGATTAAAAATGGCATCCCTATTGTAAAAATTTGGGAAGTGATAAAAGAGTGGCTGGCCTCCCTAACAAAGTTTAAAGTTAAAATTGTCTTAAATGTTTCTTTAAAAATCCAAAATGATAAATTAGGATTCCCAAAATGATTGCCTAATTGTTATTCCAGTTTCTCTTATAGGTTTTTATAAGCATGGTCCTTCAAAAATTGGTCAGAGCCAGAGGTCATGGGAAGATAGTTTGTAGGCATGCCTAATGTCCATGACTATCTACCTTGTAAAGGGACAGAACTTGCTAGTCATCTGTGAGAGTAGTAAAAAGTTAAGGATGTAAAATGTGGGGGATAGTTTAAAATCCAAACTCCCCTATATTTGCTAAAAGCTCTAATTGGCAGTAACTTTTGGACTGGCAGCAGCCACCGAAATTCATCTATTCAGGAAGGAAAGTTTTGTACCTGAGATTGTGTCCGAATTGGGATCTGTCTAAAGGCTTACACAGGTAACTTAGGCATGAGTAGGGTCCCTGGAGATCACATTACTAAGTCAGCAAGAAGGATGTTTTTGCAAACTAGTATGCTAAACAAGCTACACTGCTATAGCCAGAGAAAAGGTCTGTGCATTTGTCAAAAGTTAAATGTTGCATATAATTTGCAGTTTGGAGTAAAATATTGCTCCTAATAACATATCATCTTGGCAACACATTGGTAAAATAGGATAAGGCTATAGGTTCTTGACTAAGTAGTCTCAATGCCCCTGAGTCAGCTTGAAGAAGTTACAGAAGATGAATCTTCACCCGTCAATGCCCTAAAGATCAAGGGACCAGAGTCACTTTAAAAATGAGGCAGGAAAACAGGGGTTATACCATGGGGTGGACATACAAAGCAACAAAAAAATCACCTTATAAATATGTTAGAAACAATAGCAAGAAAGAAAAACCCCTTCAGTCCTTATCTGGTGGTTCATTTTGCCTAACATCAACTTATCTGACCTTTTCTGCTTGTCTCAGACATATACTAGTTATTGCACATAAGGGAAACCATGGGACCTATGTTTCTTTGGGCGTGGCTTACTTCATTTAATGTAAGTTTTTCCAATCTTTCCATTTCCTAACAAATGGTGTGGGTAATGTCATTCTTGATGCTGGCATAATATGGAGAGGTGAAGGGAAAAAAAGCAAATTGTTTAAATAGGGATACTGGTGGACCCATTGTAACAATAAGATGTACAAGATACTATGTCAAGCTGGGTGCTAGTGGCTCACGCCTGCAATCTTAGATACTCAAGAGGCTGAGATCTGACGATCACGGTTCAAAGCCAGCCTGGGCAGGAAAGTCCGTGAACCTCTTATCTCCAATAAACCACTCGAAAACCGGAAGTAGTGTTGTAGCTCAAGTGGTAGAGCGCTCCCCTTGAGCTGAAGAGCATAAAGATAGCCCCCAAGTCCAGATTCAAGCCCCATGACCCACCAAAAAAAAAAAAGATGCTATATCAAAAAATAACAAAAAACAAAGAACTTTACAACTTTGAGTGGGGGAGGAGTGAAGGGGGGTGTAGTCTGGGGGATGGAAGGGCAGGGATGATAAGGGAAAAACAAAGGAGGAGGCAACAATGCTTGATAAGAAATGTATTCATTACCTTGCTCATGTAATTGTAACCCCTCTGTATGGTATTTCCACAATAAAAAAAAATTAAAAGAATGAGGCAGGATAAATTAAAAAGAGGCATGGAAACAAGCCCAAGCCCTCTGTGTCCACCTAGAAAAACCTAGCCTTATTTAATAAAATCTCTGGTTATTAAAAAGTTGTCACCTTAGTAAATTACCCAGGAGGAGCTACTGCCTAATTTGCCTTAAAAATCAATGGGGCTCCAGCCTTCAAGAGCCAGTGTACAACCAGGAAGGTAGTGGGATATTTCACTAAAGTCAGACCTTAGGTTAAGCTTCTTTAACTAGTTTGTGCAGAAATGGCACATACCTCAGCATGAGGTGTGACAATCCACCATAGCTGCTGAAAGACATTGATGCTGCTTTCCAGCTTATCTGTTCTAATCTGTTTGAGTAAAGTCCAAAAACAGCCTGGCATCATCCAGTGGAGACTACAGCATCATCCTGACCATATCCACTGTGGTCAGTGTGGACTGGACTCCTTCTTGCCTGACTCTGTCACCTGCAGCTGATACCTGGTGAATGACTGCTTTGGATCTGCTTAACCTAGGAGTTCTGTTGAGGGACATTCTTTTGTGGGACACAGATTTGTAAATCATACCCTGCCTGACATGGGATGGAAGTTCAAAGTCCCCTGACTATATGGGTACCAATCATATGGAGCCAATTTTAATTGCTGGAGACTCCATAAATTAAAGGAGTAAATGGCTTAGGAAACATTTCAGTCCTTTTACAGAGAAATAAATGATTTGATCTCATGTACATAAAAATAAAAGGAGGAAATGAACTAAGGGGGCCAAGTCTGGCCGGCACCATATTGGCCACATGTTGGATGGTAGGGTCTAGCATCTTGTCCTCATGCTGGGAGAATGAAACACCCTCCCCCCTTCACCTGCCTCCCAGGTAATGGGCATGCCTGGACCCCTGGAGACAGGGACAGGCACTTGGCTGAAAGGTTACTGAATCTGTCAGTCTAGTGCCTGGGACTGGGAATTTCCTGAGAATCTGCCCCCTGCACTGACCTATGTAGGCCCAGACCAAATTAGCTACCAAGACTCCATGCCCCATGCATCTCTGCGATGAAGTCCTGTGTTCTGTCTGCTGGCTCATCTCCAGTCATCATGGAGTCCCAATTCAGCTCTTCATTTAGTCCCAATTCAGCTCTCCATTGGAGCTGAATTGCTTGTTGGAATTGTTTTGATTTCTTTGCTCTATGGCATACTTCCTAGCTGTGTTATGTGTATTTACATGTGCAGGCCTTTGTAACAACTGGTGGCCTGAAGCCTGTTAAGTGTAAAATAAAGACTCCAATATTCTATATTTTAAAATGTGACTTCTGGGATGATTTACCCTACAACATAAGAACTTTTGTAAGACTACAAATTATAATGCCATCTTGTTGGAAGATAGGATCTACACATACTACTGTGTGTAGAGATAAGTATTTGAATCAACAAAGTCATGAGATTTGCAGTTAATCATTTGTAATACACATGTACCTACCCAATTTTTGTGACTTCTGTGCAGGATGAACTTAAAGAAATACCAATTGCTTCTTACCCTGGTGCTTGCAGTGGAGGAGATCAACAAGAATCCCCATCTGCTACTCAACATGACTCTGGGGTTTGAGATCTATAGTGCACATTGCAGAGATACTGATCTATTAGAGGATGTACTCATCTGGCTGTCTGGAAAGAATAAAAACAACCCTAATTACACCTGCAAAAGAGACAGCAAAGCTTTAGCAGTACTCACAGGAACCTCAAGCACATCTGTCCCAATTGGGACACTGCTGGACCTCTACAAACTTCCACAGGTGAGGCTGGGAGGGGTGGGCAGATGTGAACCATGTCCACATGGACTCTTTCCTTGACAGGCTTAAGAAGAGGAGTTATCACAAACCCTTCCAAACCTGTGATCTCATCGGGAAAAGACAAAAAAGTGGGTGGGACATAGACATTTTCTTTGCTGTAAAAATAAATAAATAAAAGGAGAGGTTGTAAGAGATCAAAGGATGATCCAAAGCTCTGAGCCTTATCCATACATTTCTGCAATGAGCTTAGAACTTGGAAGATGACTTTCCAAATGGGATAAGCGAACTTCCTCCCCTTCCTCTCCCCCCCCCCCCATTGCCCAGGCTAGCCCTGAGCTCTTGTGCTCAAGTCATTTTTCTTCCTCAGTAGCAAGCATGGTAGCCTCCTCCTTTGTTTCCCTTTCCCATCCCTTCCCATCCTCCCCCCCCCCCCCCCCCCCCCCCCGACTCCATCCATACTGCCATTTTTCTTTAGTTTACATCAGGATAGAGCCTTGTCTATGACCATCCTCTTCCTGGTGTTGTGTTCATTTTTTTTCCCTCTAGTTCACCTTTGGGTCTTTTGATCCTCTCCTGAGTGACCATGGAAAGTTTGGTACTATCTATCAGATGGCTGCCAAGGACTCAGCTCTGGCCCTTGCTATGGTCTCTTTGATGCTTCACTTCAGTTGGACCTGGGTGGGACTGTTCATCACCGAAGATGACTATGGTGTGTGGTTCCTCTTAGAATTGAGAGATGAGATGGACAAGAATGGAGTCTGTTTGGCCTTTGAGAACATGATCACTTATCATACCATTTCAGATTTATCAAATGATCTATCCATACATCGCCAGCTAATGGAATCATCAACCAATGTGATTATCATTTATGGGGACAGTAAACTTCTCTTAAGCTTTATTCTTAAATTAGGGCACTTTTTAATTATAGGGAAAGTCTGGGTCATGAACTCACCCTATGATGACGTGACCATTGGTAAAAAATATTTTCTGCTTGATTCTTTCCATGCACCTCTCATCTTTTCTCACCATCATAGAAACACTTCTGGGTTCACCCATTTTATTCTGACAGATACCTTGTCCAAGAACTCAGGAGATAATTCCCTTCCCAGGTCATGGATTCAGTCTGTTTATTGCCTACTGATTAAGTCTGACTGCAGAGACTTGGGGCACTGCTCATACAACGCTACACTCCATTGGTTGCTGAGACACATTTTTGATATGACCATGTCAGAAGAGAGTTACAACATCTATAATGCTGTGTATGCCTTGGCCCACGCCCTCCACCAGATGGTTCTTCATCACATGGAACAGCTACCAGTGCACATTGCTCAACCAAGAGCATTTCTCTCTTCACAGGTAATGGCTTTGCTTTTGGTTGACCTACTCTAGGCATGCAGACTTTGTATAGAAGCATTCACAGCAGATGGAACTAGGTCATCTGGCTCCATTTTGGAAAATACAAGAGACTATGAGCCTGTCATGCTTACAATGAAATGACTGTAGAGCCGTGAACACAGTGTTCTTAAAGAACACTGCATCCGTGACAAGGAAGTGCTGTATCTTCTATGCCCATTCTCACTATGCATGGAAAAAGCTGTCCCCTTTTTAATAGCATATATCCAAATTGTCTTTCTACCTTTTTAAAATAACAGATCAAGGGTGACTAGTTATTGAAAACTTAATATTGTCTGGACACATGTGGCTCACACCTGTGGCTCACTTCTGGTTACAGTTAACCACCATAAAGCCAGAGGAGGAGCTGAGGCTCAATAGATAAAATGCTTAGTTTGAAAAAAAAAACTACCCTAAGTTGGTTGCCTAGGCCATGAGGTGGGGCCACAGGACAGGATACACACACACACACACACACACACACACACACAAACATACACACACAGAGTGATCTAAGTCTTCCTTAAGGTAATCTTTCTTGTCATAAATACTCTATGATTCTACTTAGTTTATTATTTGCCTATTTTTCAGACTGACTCTCTAATCACAATTATAAAATAAATGATTGGAAAGCACTTTAGAGAGGCAGTTGAGGTCTGTCACCATATAATTCATTATTTGTTGGATGTGGCTGGAATTTCATTCCCTTGAAATTGAATTTCTGCATTCCATCCTTGATAACCAGGTTTTAGAACTTGGTAACACTTTAGTCCTCTGTGGGCCTGCATTTGACACAGTTGGTTGGATTCCTGTGGTGTGTGTGAATCATGTGGTGGGAATGATGGATAATCTGTGTGTATCCATTGTTCTGGGGTTCTGTGATAACTCTGGGAAGCACTTCACCATACTGTAATGTGTCCCTTTTAGCTGCATCCCTTTTTGAAGAAGATCCAATTTACCAATCCTGTTGGAGACCAAGTGATTTTGAATGAGGAAAGGAAATTGGAGGCAGAGTATGACATTATGAGCTTTTGGAATTTTCCTGACGGTCTGGGACAAAGTGTAAAAGTTGGCAAGTTTTCTTCATTTAGTCCACGTGATCAACAACTGACTTTGTTTGAAAATCTGATAGAATGGCCCATAGGAATTACCAAGGTGGGTCATTTCTACGTTTTTGGCTTTCTCCTTTTTTAAAAAATATGTAAGATTATTATGAAGTAGTTGTAATTCCCTAAGGCAGGTTATGAGTACAATGTTTGTAGATAATGTCACCACATCCTTATTTCTCCAGCAGAGTTGGTCATTCTTAACTATATATGCCATGATCTATGTATAAATATGCCATAAGCTTATCCTGTTTTTAAGCTTGTTTATCAAAACTATGGCTCAGTGATGTACGTTTTACAATTTCCTGTATCTGGAAGTTTCTTGCTTACACATTTATGAAGGGCATAGGGGAACATTCCATTACCATTATGTTGTTCTATGTTTGCACATTGAATATCATAAAATGTGAATGACACCTGTGAAGATGTTTCCAGAACTGTGACCAGATATCTGAGGGAATCAAAGGAGAAGGCAGAAGGGCTTGCTTTGCTTCTGCCTGGAGATTTCATACCATGGTTGGGTCAATTGTTGTTTTTGAGTTTGTGGTGAGACAGGATGTAATTAAAGGAGCATCTGCCAGTGAAGGTCACCTACATCATGGCAGCTAGGAAGCCAAGAGAGAGAGAGATGTGAATGGCCGTAGGTACAGCAGCACCTCCAAAGCACTTAGCCATGCTTTAGAGTGTGAGTTTGAAGTTTCCCTGAGTGATTTTCCTCTGATGTTCTTATTCATCTCTTCACAGATGAATAAGAGAGAAAACACATCATCACCCGAATTCATGAATGGGATGGATGATTGAATTCCAATTTCCTAGTTTCCTAGAATTAACATCCACCTCTTAAAGGCTTCATGATTTCCCGATGGCATGAGGGGCTTTTGTCAAGTCCCATGTATTCTTTAGGTCATGTTAAATGAAACTGTAAAAGGCTTAATCAATTCATTGGCTGTATGTATATAAAGATTATGTGTTTTGATTATCTTTCCCCTAAAGCACTGGAGTGTCTGGGATGTCAGGTAAAAAGATGAATAGTCACTAACCTTCATCTAACTGTTCTCAGACTCCTAGGTCTGTTTGCACTGAGAGCTGTGGTCCTGGATTCAGGAAGACCTCTCTGGAGGGAAATGCTGTCTGTTGCTTTGACTGCACTCCTTGCTCAGAGAATGAGATTTCTAATGTGTCAGGTGGGTCTGTGAGTTATAGAGAAATTCCCCATCTCTCCTTCCTAACCTTCAGTGCATGCAAGCCAGTAGAGTTATCTACAGTAGCATGCCAGGAACACATATTCCTCTTCACGGAGAATTCCATTACTACTGTTAACCATACTTATCCTTAGAAGAAGCAACGCACTACCCCTACATTATATACATGATTGTATTTTCTCATCTATTACAGGATTCATCTTGAGAATACGCCTATTCCCCTCTCCTCAGTCACATTTTTTGTATTTAAAGAAAATATACACTAATGGTTTCCCTTATTTGGAAGAAGCAGAAAAAGGCAAAAGCTATGTACATATCCCCATATAAGATGTTAAGTGAAATGAACCCCAAGATAGGGACACAAGTAGTTTTTTTCTTTCTTTTTTACATGTATTTATAATGTACTATATGAGTTTTTGGTTTGTGTGGTTTGTTCCTCCCCGACAGCATAACCCATGTTTTCACAGACTTGGATTCTGGTCCTGCATCTTGTATACACATTTTTCTAGTTTGGGGAGGGGAAGGAAAAAACCTAACTTCCTAAATAGGGATACAGGTTGACCCATTGTAACAATGAGATGTACAAAACACTATGTTGAAAACGAACTTTACAACTTTGACTGGGGGTGAGGGGTAGGGGTTAGGGAGTACTTGGGATGGTGGGGAAAGAAGGGATGCTAGGAGAAAAACAAAAGAGGTGGCAACAATGTTGATAGGATATGTACTCATTACCTTAGTATAACTCCACTGTACAGTATTTTTACAATGAAAAACATATAAAAAGGAAAGGAGCAGGTAATAATGCTCCGTAAGAAATGTACTCATTAACATACTTATGTAAATGTAACCCCTCTGTCCAGTATCTTCACGATAAAAAATATATTTTGTAGAAAAGGAGAAATGGAGAAAATAAAAGCAAAAGACTGTAAAAAGAAAACAAAAAAATAGAAATGATGTGCAAATCATCATTGAATTTTGGATCTAACACAGTCTTGTTTTTCCCCATCTCCTCCACAAGTTATACTGACATCAAATATAGTGAAAGCTGGGGTTATACTGTGCGGGGGGACATACAAAGCAACAAAGAAATAATCTTATAAATGCGTTAGAAACACATGGTGGCTCAGTGGTAGAGCTCTTGCCTTGAGTGCTGCTCTTTTCTAATTAAATTTGATTTTCTATTTAGCAAGCACTAATAATACAAGGGACTTTATTATGATAATTCCATGTCTGACACTGGCACTAGATTGACTAGCAATTCCTGAAATATAAAAGATTCAGAAGTAGTTTTCTATGTCCATTTCATTTCTCTTCTCCCTCATCCAGCTGATCTTTTCCAGACCCTATCATATCAGAGGAGAAAAATTGTTCTTGACACAGATAAATGCTCAGGAATTTTGTGTTTGGTATAAGGAGTAGATTGAGGTTTGGATTAGACCCTCTTGTTAAAATTGAAATAATTAGGGTGATTCTATATTCTCCATTATTTCTTGAATGAGTATCAGAGAGCCAGAGTGATATGACCTGTCAAGAATGCAGCACATAAGGCTAGGTAACTATATATTTCCCTTGTAATCCAAGTGACTCAGGCAGTTGAGATTTTAGGATGGAGCTTAGATGCAATGATGTCCAGGAAACTAAGTAAGATGCTTTTCCACAATTAAGCACCCCAAAAAACTGTAATTCAAGCTGTGGCTCAAGTGGTAGAATGGTAGATTTGGCATGAATACTCTGAAAAAATTCCCAGGGCCAAAGTTCAAGCGCTGGAGGAAAGACAGAAAGTAAGGAAGGAAGAAAGACAGAAACAAAGAAAGAAAGAAGGAAGATAAAAGAAAGAAGGGAGGAAGGGAGGGAAGAAGGGCAAGAGGGAGAGAAAAAGGACGTAAGGCAAGAAGGAAAGAAGGAATAGAGGAAGGAAGGAAGGAGATAAACAGAAAAAAGAGAAATGGAGAAAGGAAAGAAGAAGAAATGTGAGAAAGAATTCAACAGGAAGTATTTTGACATTAAAAGTTACTCTACTTGGTATTGAACTCAATACAGGTCACCTGATGGATCAGGGAAAGGAAGCTATTTGAATGAAGGGGGATGAGAGGAAAGAGAAATATGTAACCCAGACTAACAGTGATTTTCACTCTTCACCAGACATGGAGCAGTGTGTGAGGTGTCCAGATTATCAGTTGGCCAACACCGAGAGAAACACCTGCCTCTTGAAAACTGAGAGTTTCCTGGCTTATGAAGACCCCTTGGGCATGTCTCTTGCCTGCACAGCTCTCTGTTGCTCTGCACTCACAGCTGCGGTTCTTGGGGTATTTATCAAGCACCAAGACACCCCCATTGTCAAGGCCAATAACCGGGCCCTCAGCTACATCCTGCTCATCTCCCTAACCTGCTGTTTCCTCTGCTCCTTGCTCTTCCTTGGCCGTCCACACACAGCCTCCTGCATCCTCCAGCACACCACATTTGCAGTGGTCTTCACTGTGGCTGTCTCTACGATCCTGGCCAAGACCATCACCGTGGTTCTGGCCTTCACACTCACTGCTCCAGGGAGAAGCATGAGGCAGTGGCTGGTGTCCCAGGCTCCTAAGCTCATCATCCCCATCTGCACTCTCATCCAGGTGACTCTCTGTGGCCTCTGGCTGGGAATCTCTCCTCCCTTTGTGGACAGAGATGCACACTCTGAACATGGCCATGTTATCATCCTGTGCAACATGGGCTCCCTCACTGCTTTCTACTGTGTCCTGGGATACCTGGGCTTTCTGGCCTTGTCCAGCTTCACCATGGCTTTTCTGGTCAGGAATCTGCCTGACACCTTCAATGAGGCCAAGTTCCTTACCTTCAGCATGCTGGTATTCTGCAGTGTGTGGCTCACCTTCCTGCCTGTCTACCACAGCACCAAGGGGAAGGTCATGGTGGCCGTGGAGGTCTTCTCCATCTTGGTCTCCAGTGGAGGTCTCCTGGGCTGCATCTTTGCCCCCAAGTGCTACATCATCTTGATAAGACCTGAGAGAAATTCTCTGTCCAGGTTCAGGGAGAGATCATAGTTGGGAAGAAACAAACATTAAGATGAACATAAGTGTTGCCTACAATGTTGTTTAGAGCCTCTGAGAGCAATCTATACCAATTTGGCAGTCACATCTTAGTTTAATTTGAGGAATTCTTTTTTATTTTTTAGTTTGAGGAATTCTTTGGACAAAGTAGTTACTGTTTTTCATTCTACTGCTTATGTAAGAGTCATATCAAATTCCCAACAAGACTTCCTAAATTTTCATTCTAATTTGGATATTTTATTCTTCCTCCAGTGTAATGTGTCCTTTATGATATCATACTTTATGATGAGTACATTATCTACTGTGATTCTTTCTTTCTTTTACCTGCTCAATTATTCTTCTTACCTATGCTATATTGCTGCTTGCATATCACTATATTTATAAGGCTGCTAGTATCTGAAGGTTATGCTGTGAAATGTTTCCATGCTTTAATTATGGTACCTTGAGTCTATTATCTGGCCTAGCTGTGGTTTTCTCTTCACAATTTTCTATTTTGCTATATTACTGTGTGCATTTCTTCAGAAAATCTCTAATTCTCTCCCTTCCTTCATTAAGAATTTTAGAGCAGGATGTTAATGTGTTTCAGTTTCCCAAAGAAGTTAAGTGTATTTTTGAGAAAAGTAATGTGAGTGAATCAATATAAGTAGAGCGTCTCAATGAGCAGCTGGAAAAATAGTTTGCTTATTGGTCATTATTTCTTATTGAAGGCCAAAGATACAGAGTGCCAAGCAACAGCCTTGTCATCCCAGTCTCTATGAATCCTCAATATTAATTTGGGAGGAGAAATGGAATCATTTATAAGAAGAGAAAAAGCTTCCCAAAGAGAGGACAAAATCATTAGATAGGCTCAGACTCCCGCATCTCTCAACGTTCTTTAAAATTCTACAAGAGCAGGAATGATTCAGAAGAGTCCCTTAAGAAATCAGAAGTGTTAAGAAGCTTGAAGTGGGACTATTGTCATGCCACCACTGCATTATACCGTCAGGAGTCCAAAAGACAAGCAAGCTCCTTTCGCTGTCCAGAGATCTTGACGTCATTCAATGCTGTAACTGTGGGTCAGTGGAGTGATGTCACCCATACATGCATCACAGAGACACACACAGCGCCCTATGTACTTCTGCTGGGCCATTGCTGGAAAACATAAAAGCATCTGCACAGAGACAAAAATGTCTGGAAGCCAAACAGATCATTCTAGTTACAGTGACTCATAGAAGAGAGTTCTCACTGTTCTTTAAGCATTTGCTTTTGTATTGAATGGCATTGCTGGATTAGTATGTATACAACACAGGGGTACTGATGAATTTTACTATCATAAGGCTTTAACGAGAACCAGAACAGCCTAACCACACAAAAGAAATGAGTGTTAGACTCCTATGTCAAATGTCTACATCAAGCATTAGGAAGACGTATCTGTTGTCCACTTGAAAAATAGGAACAAGAAAACTTCAGATCCAACCACTTTTGCCCTTTATGAAGTGCAACCTTACCACTTTGTGTTAATAATAAATAGATAGTTGCCATTATACATTCATCATACTCTAATAGTAAAGGAAGTAATTATTGAGTTATTTCTAAGGAAAGAGGCTAAGGTTCCTGGGCTCTCAGTGAAATGAAATGCATGTTTACCTTGTCAAAAAGGACAACTTACCAGAATTATTCTGATCTCATGTCTTTTGTCCAGAAGCAGGGAGCCCAATGCAAGCACACTTATAAGAGTTTATGTCTAAACATTTACAAGTTACATTAAAATCACTCACACTTAGCTGAGTACCAGTGCCTAAGGCCTGTAAACTTAGCTCCTTAGAGAGCTGAGATGTGAGGACCAGGGTTCCAAGCCAGCGTGGAGCAGTAAAATTCTTGAGTCTTTTATATCCAAGGAACCAACAAAGCCAGAATGTATCTGTGGTTCAAGTGGTAGAGCACTAGCTTTACACAAAAACAATGCTCAGAAACAACACCCAGACCTTGAGTACAACTATCAGAACCAGCACCAAAACCCCCCATAAGAACACAATCTTACATTCATTTCTTTAGGTGGCAAAAATGTAAATTCCCTGTGAAGTAAAGAAAGATGAAGCATATGGAATAAAAAGACAACACAGGTCATAGCGGGGCAAAATAGGAATTTCCAAATAATATCATCAACGCTTTTTTGATAACTGAGGTCCAGACCTTTACTATCATTTTGATAATCCCTTTGCAGTTCTCAGACAGACTTTAGAATAATGGAAGTATTTTAGTTTGGGGAAGACCTCAACAGGAAACAGAGCCAGTATTCTATAGGTAGAATGAAAAAAAATGATTACCCATTCTTGTAACCAAGAACAACTAAGAACGTGTAAATCTTGGTGAACTGTGATGGTCACACAAAGGGTGAAATAATTTTTACTGCTCTGTCATAACATCTGGCTACCCAAAACAATGATGTTGGTATTTATGATTAAGAGTTGATATTTCCAAAACTCTTCACCCATCAAATACATCAGTACTTACTGGGTAGAGCTGCTTCTGTCTTTAGACATAACCAGTGGTCAAGAACCAAGGACATTTTCAAGCTTAGTGTCCAAAGAGCCCTGAGCCTCCATAATCAGGACTGACAGACCAGGAGCTGGCCTCTGTCCCTGAGGATACAAGCATGAAACCCACACCTGTCCTGGAGATGCTCAAGTGAAGGAGGGAAAGGATGGACTTATCATTGACTTCCATATATCCTGGGGAAACCAATGCCCAGTGCTCACAATTAGTCAATTTGTGCATATTGTACCAAATCTCTAACAACTCTCAAATAGAAATGGAAGAAGAAGAGAAAAGATAATAATGGCCACACTAGATTTTGGAGGGACTTCTTTGGCTATGCTGGCAAAATATAATGTGTCCTTTGTTCCACTGCTTTATTTTCTGCTTATTTTTTAATATGCAGTGGTGTTCATTCTCCACTTTACTGGACCACATTATATATCAAAAAAGTGTTAGTGTTTTACAGTGAGATATGACAAAGTAAACAAGTCCCAAGAAACAAATAACCTCTTCTTGTCATATCATTTCTAGATGACTCCACATTCTGGGCCCCATATATGGTATGTACACATGCACAACTGATGGAAGCTAGGAGGACAAAAAAGTGGAGGAAAATGGGTGAAACAATAGACAGAGGGCCCATCGGCAGCACTGGTCATTGATGAAAGTGAACTAAGCAACTCAAGAGTGGTGATGGGAGGGAGGGAATGGGAGAGAAAGAGGAAACAGCTGATACTGAGCAAAAGGAGAGAAATGTTCATATCACACGATTTGGAAGAAGCAGTTTGTGGTATAGTGTGTAGAGTTCATAAGCTTTGTAGATCAAGACAATGACAAGATGCATTGTGAAGGTTAAAATGTGTTAGTGACTTTAGCTAAGTATCACTATGCCACAATACTGTGAATTTTATGTAATTATTTAACCTCAATAAAGAAAAGTGTTACTGTTTTAGAATACTGACTATAACATTGAGCAATAAGTATTAAAGTTTCACATTCTTGTGGAAATCCATTAGTAAATTCACTATTAATTTCAATATTGTATACATAATCTCTTTTTCATGTCAGACAACAGTGGCTCCCTTAAAAGGCTGAGATCTGAGGATCACAGTTCAAACTAGCCTGGACAGAAAAGTCTATGAGACTCCATCTCTAATACACAAGTAAAAATATGGGACTGAAGGTATTTCTCAAATGCTAAAATGCCACTTGTGAATAAGAAAGCCAAGAAAGGAAGCTTGGGGCCCTGATTTCCAGGGCTGCTGCACGTGAACACACACACACACACACACACACACACGTTTTATCAATATTGAAAATATAAGTTGATTTTTTTATTCCCTTTTCTTCCCACCAACCAACTCTGAAAATGTCAATCCTGTCTTTAAATTTATTTTTTAAAATGCAAGTGATGTCTTTTCTCATGATGGTCTATGGATGCCACTGTGGGCAGTGCCAATTATGCCAAAGGTTCAGCAGATACCAGAGGATAAAAAGGGGAAGGGAGAGAAAAGGGGAGATAGAGAGGGGGGAGAGAAGAGAGAGAGAAATACCCAATATGTTAAAGTCACACATCATTAAAAGAAAAACAGCCTAATATGTGTGGTTTTCCCACACATGGCAGGTGTGACACCCCAACCCAGAGAGGGCCTGGAATAGTAGGAATAGGCTCTGGATCCCACCAGTGATTCCTGGGCCTGTTGATCAGGATCTGTCCCATATTGGTGCTGCTGAACCTGGGCCCAGACAAGGGCAAGACCTTGCTGTATTCAAGAGCCAGGTGCAGCCCCTCATGCTCAAGGCCTTGGTCCCCTTCCTGATGATGCTCATTGTCCCATGCCTCAAGGGATGCTGGGACTATCCTTCCTCTTCCAGAGCAGGACCCTGAGCCTCATCTTTCCCCAGAGGGGTCAAAGCATGCCCAGGAGCTAGGCATCTGGGACACACTGTTTGTCATGTCTGGGGATGTTCTGATGCACACAGTGAGGCCTGTGCCCTAGGTTAGTTGGTTTGGTAGGGGCAGATCTGGAAGCTCCCAGAGACAGAAACCCCATTCCTGCTCTAACAGGTGGTGAGTGGGTTCATAGACCAACCAGACTGGGATATATCTGTGTAGCTTTCGGATAGGATCTGGCAGCCTACTGCTTTCCAATTTGGAAAGAAATTCCTTTTGTAATAACACCACAAAAAATAAAATACTGTTGAGTTAACTGAAGAGGTAAAAGACATTTATGAGGATCACTTTAAAAACCTGAAAAAGGAAATTAAAGCAGAACTAAGCAAGTGGAAAAACCTCCACTGCTCCTGGATTGGGATAATTAATATAAAAAATGGCAATAATTCCAAAGGCTATCTCCAAATTAAATGTAATACCTATCAATATCCCAACATCATTCTTTAATGAAATAGAAGAAGTAATTCAAAAAGACATATGGAACAATAAAAGAACCTAAATAGGGAAAACAATCCTTAGCAAA